AGTTTTTTGAGACCACTCTGACTGTTCATAGTCTCACTCGATTAAGCACATTGAAATCTATCGAACGATATATCATGTGTCTGCTGTTGAGCTAATATTTTAGACTTTTTTTATGAGACTGGATGAACGAATATTAATACAGAGATATCTCAGCTTCCTGACATGTGGTAGTTGGGAAATTTTTACCTTATACTCAGTAAAGGATGACGCATAAGATGCGCAATTTTAATTTTCGCTAAACAAACTTTCAGTTTTTTTTGCTAATTGCACAACAGAAATACGATTCACTCATATATATTGTAATTTAGAGAAGTTATCAATAAATGTATAGTTTTCGAAAAAATAATTCACTTTTCGCGGTGTGTACTTCTCATCGGAAAGTTTTAATGATTGCCATTGATTCATGTCTTGATTCTGAAACACGATATCAAAATTTTTCTTACTAACGGATGTAAAATCAAGTCTACGACAAAATTTTGCAATTAAACTTTGTAATTGATAGTTCAAATTTGAGAATGCAATGATCACTTCAGTGCAAGTCATATAAGATAGAATTGCAATAACGATCTTATTGAGCATATTTTCGAATGATATAGAACCATTTCGATTTTTTTGCTTACTGACCATGGTACGTACAACATTTGAATTTTACTTGCACAACGTTGCGCAAGGTATAAGACATGACTCATCGTTGAATTCTCATTTGAAAAAGACATAAAATTGAAACTGATAATGAAAGATAAGATTCTTGCTTACTTATATGCACCTTCACGTACATCAAAAAACCACATTTGAATTATTATGATTAAAATGTCAACAACTCCTCTATTGTTGGTTTGTGTTGCTATTTGTTTCTTGTCTACGGCATCGGTTATAGATGATTCCAAAACAAGTTTTCAATCTCAAGTGACACTTAGAACATGGGGACAAGCTATTGCCATGGCCAAATCATTTATTGCTCAACTGACCTTACAAGAAAAATGCCATTTGACAGCAGGTGTCGGTGGGACATGCGCTGGCAATATTGCATCGTTACCACGTGTCAATTTTAGTGGTTTCTGCCTTCTCGATACACCGTCGGGTGTTGGTGATGGTGTTTTATATTCAACTGCATTCGTAAGTGGTATTCATATTGCAGCGACATGGGATCGAGATTTGTTTTATCGACGTGCTGTTGCAATTGGAAAAGAATTTCGCGGCAAAGGTGTCCATTATGCACTTGGCCCTATGGTGAATATGGATCGAAATGCTCGACATGGTCGTAACTGGGAAGGATTTGGCTCGGATCCATATCTTTCAGGTGAAAATGCATTTTTCTATACTCAAGGTGTTCAAGATCAAGGTGTTGTTGCAACCGCGAAACTTTATATTTGTAATGAGCAGGACACGCATCGTAGTGGTGTCATGAAAGGTGCTAATGATGCTGTAGTTTACTCAGCCAATCTTGATGACAAAACCATGCATGAGATTTATCTTTGGCCATTTGCATCAAGTGTTGCTGCTGGGGCAGGTTCTATCATGTGTTCAGCCAATGAAATTAATGATACACGAGCTTGTCAAAATAATAAAACACAAAATGGTTTGTTGAAAGGAGAATTGGGATATATGGGTAATATATTGACGGATTGGATGGGATCAAAATCAACAGTTGATCCAGTTTTATCAGGACTAGATATTGATATGCCGGGTTACGATGGATATATGGGTGATACTTTAGTATTATTTGTTCAAAATGGAAGTATTCCTGAATCAAGAATCGATGATATGGCTACACGCATTATCGCACCTTACTATCTTGTTGGACAAGATCAAGATTATCCAACGGTCGATCTTGATCGCGATGCTATGGAACATAATTATATAATTAATCGAGAAGCCAGTCGTGCTGGTATGATATTACTGAAAAATCTCAACAATGCATTACCATTAAATTCTTCCGTCAATACGAACATTTATATCTATGGACAAGCAGCTGGTCAAACGACTTGCGGCCTTGAACAAACAGCATGGAATGCAAATTGTGGAGGTGCATTATATCAAGGTGGTGGATCAGGTTTTGTTCGACCAGCCTATGCTATAGATCCTCTCACTGCACTGATGCAAAAAGGTCGAGATGATCGTCTTCAAATTCGATATATTACCAATCAAAACGATTTTGTTTCCATTAATCGTACATTCAGAGATCGTGGTTTTCAAAATGCTAATTGTCTTGTATTTATTAGTGCTTGGTCGGAAGAAGGAATAGATCGAACCGACCTATATGCTTTTGATAATGGTGAACAACTTGTTCTAACTGTTGCTCAAAATTGTCTTCAAACTATTGTTCTTGTTAATAGTGTGTCACAACTAAATCTTGAACGATGGATCGATCATCCAAATGTCGTCGGTGTTCTCTGGACCGGTATGCCTGGTTCTGAATATGGGCCTGCTCTTGTTGATGTTCTCTTTGGTGATTATAATCCAGGTGGAAAACTTGTCTTCTCATTGGCTAAAAATGATTCCGACTTTGGAACTGATATTAGTCCAATAGGTGACTCAAATTATACAGAAGGTGTCTTCTTAGATTATCGTCATTTTGATAAATATAATATTATGCCAAGATATTATTTTGGACATGGTCTTTCATATACTAATTTCTCGTTTGATAAACTTGAAGTTTCACAAGCAAATGATGATGATAAAAACTCTCTTGTATCATTATATAAACAACGTCGAATGAGACCTTATAATAATTTTGGTGATTCAGGATTATATGATCCTGTTTATACAATTACATTTATAATTAAAAATACTGGTAAGTACTATGGATCCGAAGTAGCACAATTATATCTTGGCTTTCCTGCTGAAGCACGAGAACCACTGAAAATACTTCGAGGATTTGAACAAGTCTATTTAGAACCAAATGAATTCAAAGAAGTTGCATTAGTATTATCACGAAAAGATATCTCTTATTGGAATGTAGTCAATCAACAATGGACAGTTGCTTCAGGTACATATATTGTATGGATATCAACATCTGCCAATAATGCTGACATAAAACTTCAAGGCTTTTTCAATGTCTAAAGATTTGCTCTTCTCTAAAATAATTTTTTAAATATAATTCGAGTGATTAAAAAATAAATACACGACAACGATTTCAGTTTTCTTTCCAAAGACTTCAAGGGTGAGGATGAGTCAAGTTACCGTTATCATGATTTCATCCTCGCTAAAGGATTCTTCAAACGGTTTTGACTACAGACTGGTTCGAATGACCTCCTGATGATATGGATACGGAGGAAGTTTTATTTGACTCATGTGTTATGTGAACAATTCGAGTATGTTGAAAGCATGATTCTATTCGATTGTAAGGAATCGGTGGAATTTTCGTCTGTTAGGTTGATGTGTCGCGGTCTTTTGTGTATTTACCAGATTTATAGGCATTGTTTGGTAGGATTGAAAGTCGTTCGGTATATTCTCTCGAACCTTTATTGTGTTGAAGGAAAAAGGGGATGGAAATACAAGAGAAAAGGGAATGAGAAGAAAATCTAGTTTCGTTGCTATCTGTCTACTCATGCATGATATTGCTAGATTCGTTTACTGTTGAACGTTTTTTCGTTTATTGAGATCGGTTTTAGATAAAATCGTCGTCGAACGAGTTGTTTGGTCAGGTTCGGAGGGTTGCGATTGCCGGTAATAAGTCTCGTACTCATGACTGGTGTTGAGTGAAAGTGTTGTTGCCATGTTCGATGAATGTCGTTCTTATAGTTGTCTAGTCGTTGTTCATGTGTGTAGTGAATGATAAGATTGCTGATCCACTTGGAGTTTTTGTACTGACGTGCTCTGAGGAAAGGATTAGTCGTTTCGTTTTCAAAATCGGTGTGATTGATTTTTGCAATTTTGGACGTTCTCTGATATTCTTGTATGGTTGGGTTATTCAATAGATGTTGACGGATAAAAGTAAAGTCGTTTGCATTATGTGTCAAAGGTAGAATAAATGGCATGGATAAGTAATTGGTAAGACATTTATTCAAACAACTATGGATATATTTTGTTGGATATCTATATTGAAATCATAGTCATATGAAGATAAAAATGAGAAATGAAAACTGACCCATTGGAAAGCAACTTCAGTTTGATGGCTGGGCATTCTTCATCAAAAGCTGATAATGTAGACGAATAATGTATTGCTCGTAGGAGAGCAGAATCGATGATGTTGGGAAAAATATGTCGAGGATGATCGGATCTGAAAGGCACTAGATGTGGTTTAGCTGCCTCCTTACGACAAACTGATATGAGGGTGAGGGTGAGACTAAGCTGCCATGATCTGAATTTCGTCTTCAGCTACGAAGACTCATCAGATGGCATTGAAATTTTCAAGATTAGATTCTTTTGATAGAAGATAATAGATTGAAAGTATCACACGACGACCGTTTCGTCCTTGCTTAAGGGACTCATCTGGTATCTTCTCAATCTATCATTACAAGTCATTCAAAACTCAAAATTAAATTTAATTGGCGAATTTTTGAAAAACACGTAATAAATTCTTATTTCCTACAAAAAAAATTGAATATTTTGATAGAAGATAAGAGATTGAAAGCATCACACGACGATCCTATTTTCTCTCTAGCAATGGAATATATCTTAGTCTAGATGTTTAGAAAATAATGTTGTTCTTACCTGATTCATATATGTAAAACTTGAAACTTGATTTCAACTATTCAACTATTCAATTTTTCAACTAATCAAGCTTGAGAGGTGAGGGTGAGTCAAGCAGACTACGACGCGTTCCGATCTTGCTAAAGGGTCTCTTCAAGTAGCTTTGACTTCGTAACTATTCGAATGATTCTAAGATCACAGATCAGTTACATAATCGACAACGTGTAGTGAATCTATGGAAGAAGTTTATTTTTCTGAAATAGGTCAGTAATTTAATATCACTGTCTGACAGTTTATTCAAAAATCAATTCTAAACCATAGTCAATGAAAAATGAAGTACAAAAGACAATTAGAGGAACTAGAAGTTATTGTGAGTTAGTCTGGGGACGTCGACATACTAATTCTTTAGTTAGATTTGCACTGTTTCGTTTTCCAACAATAAGTCTTGTATTAATGACTGGTGTGTGCACGAATATGTGATTCCATAATTGATGAATATCTTTTTTATATGTTGAAAGTCGTCTTTCATGTGTATAATGAATAATGAGATTGGTAGTCCATTTGGGTATTTTATCAAGTCGTATTTTGACTAAAGGATCATTAACTTCGTGTTTGAAGTTTGTATCAATTGTTTTTGCTAATCGTGAAGCTATTCGATATTTCGGAATAGTTAGTTTGTGTAATAGTTCACGGCGTATTGTAACAGAATCATTTTCATTATGAATCATTGGTAAAATAGATGCTCTGGAGAGATAATTTGTGAAAAATTTATGAAATCGCTTGTAAATAAATCTTAACGGATATCTATGATTAGGAAATAACTAGACAAGAGTTTGAATGAAGGAATTAAACCTTACCCATTATAAAGGAGCATTAGTAGGATTGATCGTCGTTCGTCGTTGAAAATTGCTAACGTAGATGAATATCGAACTGCGCGTAGAAGAGCATTGTCAATAATATTTGTAAAAATATACCGAGAATGATCGGATTTGAATGGTACAACATATGGTTCAGCTGCTTCTTTATGATACACTGATGTCGCTAATGCACCATTCTTATTTTCTACCAAAACATCAAGAAATGAAATAGTAGTATCAGATCTGTGTCACTCTGCCAAATCCCCTTTCTGCCAGTGACGTTCTACCAATTGACAGAACGTCATTGGCTTTCTGCCAATTGGTGGAACCGCCTCTGATGCTCTGCAAATTATAGAAATGTTTGCCAATTGACCAAAATAGCCCACGGAAACTTAGCGATGACTTAACTACATATTACTTCTATATATATAAAAGATATCGCTCGGTTATAGTAGAGGAATATGAAAGAGAAAAGTTGATTTAATACGATTGGTTTGCTCTTTCCAGATAACTATGAGTCATTGAATCGCTCTATTTTGTCGTTACCTCTTTCTTTTTCTCTTTTCTATTTTTCGTGTTACTAGCAGTCTAACTGATTTAGTTTGTTGAATTCACGGGCGGGCATTCTCTTTCTGAATAGTCAATTTACTGAACTAAATTGTATTCATGTACAGTCCGTCTTATTACAATGTATAAATACTAGGGTGTGGGTGTGGGTGTGTGGGTGGGTGTGAGTGTGGGGTGTGTGGTGTAGCTGTGGGGTGTGGGCGTGGGCATTCTTTCTATCCAAAGCCTCACCCACACTCACACTCACACCCACACTCACATCCACACCCACACTCACACCCACACCCACACCGTTTTTGGTGCTTTTTTTGGAGTCATTGAACTTGTAGTCCCCTTTTTCCGCTAAAAAAGTAAGAATTTAAAAAAAAAGGACTCTGTGGTGCCCTGCATCCTGACATGCTCTTTCTAATAAAAAAAATTAAACATATAGCACGAGCCTGAACCGATAAATCTTGGAAGCCAAATGAGCTATTTTTGACTCGTTGTTTGGTTCATATCTCTGTCAAACGTCATAGTATCGAGCTGAAAATTTTATCACAGCCTCCTCACTTTCGCCCCAACATATGCTCCAAGTTTCAGCCCATTTGAACGTACCTGGACTGAGATCGATTTTTGCGTGGGTAGGGGAGGCCTTAATACATTTCTCTTTTAAAAAATATTTTTTAATAATCGATTTGACTCGAAAATGTTTCAAAAATGCTTGAAAAACAACAAAAAGTTGTCATGCGCGTCGGAATGTCGAGATATATCTGACCTTTATCTTTAGAGATATACTCACCATCCAGCAATTGACAATTTCATACAATTCTACTTGACTATTTCAGAAATAGGATGACATCATTGTCACTTTCGAAATAATGCTGTAAATTAAGAAATTTAAACGATCTAAGGAAATGTAACAATTTAATAGAATTCTATTAGTTCTCTTCTCTTGATAGATTTTATTGAAGTTCTTGATTTTCACTTATATTTACATCGTTCAATTCTGCTATTCCAGTCAAACGGTGTGGAATTCCATAGAAGTTCTTTAATCGTTATTGCTTGCTTGATTTCTTTTTACTATTGAAGACATACGGGTTTTTCTTCTATTCAAATCGAGAAAGTCCATAGATTTTCTAATTACTATATGGTGAGTAGAAGTATTACTTTATTGGCTGAACTGCTGCCACTGCGACACAAAAATAAATACTTAATTTTCGAAATTATAGCACATTCAGGATCAGTTTCAGTGATATTCGTTATACCTCTGAATTTATTAATAAGTTCTTCTCCGTCGATTTCTCTCTCTCTTTCTTTTCAAAATTTCACGGAATTGGGCAAATTTTAAAAAATTCAACAAAAATATCCAGCTTCCAACGACAATCAATGCATCGTATAAAATTTATCATGGTGGACATGGTTCGTACATATCAATCAATTTCAGCGTAAAAAAGATCAAACTATATTAAAATGTTTTGTCAAGGAGTTTGAAGATCAATTTATATGTCTTTTGATCATTTTCATCTACTAACAATTTTAGAAAAATTTCGCTAGCATAACAAATTTGTCTAATAATCAACATACGTGGACTTGAATGTGACTGATGTTCGTTTATTGTTGAAATGCATTACATGTATATATGACACGTCGATATTTGAAATTTTTACTCGTTTTTCTATGTTAACTTGTTTCCTCTGTACAACATCAAAATTGTTTCTAACAGTTGTTCAAAACAAGTTTATATTCAAAAATTAAATTATGAACATGTTGAATTACTTTTGATAATCTAAAATTGGCCTAAAAAAATACTCAAAAGAGAAGCTTTATTATGAGTTTTTGGATAGAGTTTAACATAGAATGGTATTCTATCTTTAGAAAAATGAAAAACAAAAGGTGAGATAAACTGATATAATCTGTAAAATAAAAAATAATAATAATTTTATTGTATTGTCTACAGACATTACAGATAAGCATCATTTCAATTAAAGTTCAAAATGTTTGTCTTGAAAGTATTGCGAAAAATCAAATAAAGATATAGTATAATCTACAAAAATAGACCCTTTTTCAACAATGTTCTATAGTAAAAGCAAAGTATTGATATCGAATTTCAATAATTACTGATCAATATGACCATAATGATATGTTATCTTCATATTATGGAAATAAACATCATTTTAGTTGAAGCTATATCAACAGAAATCATGTCATCTATGAAAATCGTCTATCCATAGAATGTTTTTTGCCATATATAGACTAGATAGAAACGAACACATTAGGATAAATGAATTAATCGTTTAATTAATAATTGAATAGATATACCTACTAAACAGACATTTGTTCGAGTATTGATTTATTGTATAAAAGTCTTTTATTTGTATAATTAAATTCATTTCATAGCATAAATTGTTCTTTTTTTCTTGTAAAAGTTAAATTTGAATAAATCAAAATTCATATGTATTGATGTTGAACAACAGATATATGGTTAAAAACTCCGAGTTCATGATAGATGACGACAAAAAATATATTTCAAATCATACGAACTACTTTTCTTCATTTAATAAAATTGTTTCTTTACAAAGATAAGAGAAAATGATACATTTTTCTTTCTGAACTAAATTGAGAATATATTGACAAAAGAATATCTAAATACATCTTTATTGTTTTCATTCGTGTATATAGTTATTGTGAAAATCATTAATGAACAATGAAAATATAAATCTATCCTAACAAATGAAGATATCAATAAAAACATCGACAAAAATTGTTAGTAGTGTAATCGGTGAAACTTTCTTAAAATAAATCCAAATAATATTTAATAAGAAAAGAAACATAGAAATATGTTGATGATATACGTATCCTTTTTGTCGCAAGATCGCATTTCAATAGGTTAGACGAATGATTTCAAAACAAAAAAATGAATCATAGACATTGTTTGAATTTATCTTGGGATGATCTAACTTAATATCCGTGTCTATATGTTCAAACATATGATACAATACATGTTTTTCGCAAAAAGTTTTTTCATTTCTCATCGTGTTTTATAGAAACTTTTCAAGAACGAATAAATTAAATATTGAGAGAGTTCCAGAAAAATATATCTAAATATGTCGTAACTAGGAGTAGACTATTCTATTCTTATACTACCAGTAGGATAAATAAAAAACTAATAATTAGCATTGTTTACACTATTCCGAATAGATTTTTTCAAAGACTATGAGACAATATTCTATCATCCATGATTTTTTAGTTATGCCACTAGTCCACTGTTACTTCTAAACGTTAGACATACTTTAAATCAACAAATTACATTTCACGATGAAAATACCTTCATCCAATTGGTCGATTTACATCTTTTTTTCTATAAATCACCTTTTCTTTGTTATAACAATTGATCATCAATGATTGGTTCTCATTTAGACTATGTTCATCAAACATAATTCTTTATATATATATATAGATGTTTATATCAATTTTAATCTAGATGGACTTAACATGTCGTCAATGAATTGTTTATCAAAAATGAGTATGTATCTACTTTATAATATGATTAATTTAATGATTTTTGTGCATGAAAGATGTTATTGAACTAGTTGATTTACCAGATGAATTAATATTATTTATTATGAAGAAAGTTAATCCTCGTATGTTATTACTTTGTTCTATGATTGGTATTGGTAATAATCGTTTAGAAGCACTTGCATTTGATATATGTCATTCAATCGATTTAACTTTTGATTATCCTCAAGCACCACATCGATCATTTCGTCGACGGTTTTTTTCTCATGTTATGCCTCGTATCAGCTACGATATTCAATCATTAAGAATTAATCTTAATCACATACAGTCTATTAAAACTTTTGTTGAAAATAACTGCAATGGAACTCTTCCAAATTTGACACACTTGAAAATAATGCTGGGTACTAATCAAGTTAAAACAGGCATACCTTATACAATAGGTAAATTATCATTGATCCGATTTTTCTAAACAGTATTTACATATTGTGTTTGTTTATTTTCTGATGAGAAAAGAAACAAAGTTTTACCATTTGAGAATTGAAAAATCTCTTGTTGATGTTTTAGACAAAAGAAATTAATTTGTACTCTTGTTTAGAGAAAGACTGCACTTGAAAATAATGAGTGAAATACTTCCTAGATTGTCTGACTTTTTTAATATATGAAAGCTTTCTCTCAGAATAAGCATAGCTCAAATAAAATATGTTAAAATCTGGTCGATTTATTCAGTGATGACTATCCAAAACAATTAACTTGACAATATATTACATAATAACACTTGTACATATGTATTTTAGTGAATCATGAGATGATGGGCCGTGGAATGCGCAAACCTCTCTTCTCAACGGTACCTCAATTTTTTCTACTGCCCGACTGTGGACTTGGTAAAAAACTATCTGTCTTGTATCGTTCATCATTTATGCGTTCTGTTGAATCGTTCGACCTTGATGATAACTGTATTTTAACCGATGTATTTAACTATCATCCACTATGCCTCGATCAATTAATTGAACTAACGCATCTTCGTATATCCGTATGGAATTTTGACCAATGCGTTCATTTACTAAATCAATTGGGTTCACAACTCTATTCATTTACAGTGACTATAGGAAATGTTTTTGAAAACAATCTTAATTTAATTTCTAAAATAAGATCGGTAAGTAAGATTTTCTCGACTTAACATTCCAATGAATTTCCTCATTTAGATTTCGTGTCCTAATTTAAAACAAATGACAATGACAATGTATCGTAATTTTAATAACTATGAACCATGTATTTTCCTTCTACAACGTTTGGTAAATGTCGAATATTTAACATTATTATTAGCTGTAGGCGTACAAGGTACTACACCCAATCATTTTATTGATGGATTTTTCTTAGAGAGAAATATTCTTCCATATATGCCTCGTTTACGTCACTTTAATTATCATATTCGATCAATATTAAAAAATGCTTCTCATATAACAATTGACCAAATTCGTCAAAGTTTTCTAAAACAGCAACAACCGTTTGATTGTGTACTTGATAATTTCAATAATAACTATGGACAATGTCAAATCTATTCACTTCCATTTATTGGTACACGTCTTGATTTTGTCTCAAATCGATTTCCACTCTTTGATATTAATAAGACATTTTCAAATGTTACTATCTTATTACTTTTTGATGATGTTAAACCTTTTGAAAGTATTTTCTTTGAACGTGTTGCTCGAGCTTTACCTCAACTTCGAACACTCGAGATATTTAATCAACTTGAACAACAAGAAAAAACGACAGCAAAGAAAATTAGCATTGACTTTGCTCATTTAGCTGTACTAATTTTATATGATATTCATATAGATTATGCTCAACAATTTCTTTGTCAAATTCATCTTCCTTCTCTAATCGAACTCGCTATTAATAAGGATATTTTATTGACAATAATCGATGAAAACCAACAACAAGCAAGAGACAATTGTTCTAGAGTAGGAACAATACGAACATCCAAACCATCGTATGAATCAATAGATATTATTGAAAACTTTTTCCCACTAGCTTACTATGTCAAGCATCCAAATGAGTAAAAACAATAAAATAAATAATTTATGTAAATGTCAAATCTTTGTGAACTTTTCTTTTTCAAAAGTCGATCAAATATAAACATTAGAAATACCTTTATTCATTTAAATATAAGACAACAATTTAAATTAGATTGTCTTTCAATGAATAAATAGAGGAAGAAAATATTGATCTGATTGTTTATTTTCTTGTTCATAGTCGAATACTTTTAGCAGGGATGCAGAATCTGTCGAGAAAATAAAAAATTTTCCCGAACGGAAAAATTTTTGCGGAGAATTTTCCCCGATATAAAATTCAATTAAAAGACGAGTCTTCTCGTTCAAGATGTTTATTAAAAAACAACAATAACAACTTCCACTATTTAACATACTGTAAATATACATTAAAAAAAGAATGCTACTAATGCTACTATCTAATATCGTTTGGTTTAAGTAAAACTAGAGCTGTTCAAATCGAACTCAACTCAACCCAACGAAAAATGGTTTGATCCGGTCACTGATGACCAATTATTAGTCATCCTAATGGTTGTCTCCGCATATGGAAATACAATAGCAACAGAGAAAAAACCTCAAGAATGACGTTGCATTAGAAACATAATATAGAAAGAAAAGAGGATAACACAAATAGTGCACCTTCTCTCATGAATAGGTACAAAGAGACAAAATGCAACAAGTAGCAAGATGCATAATCAACGTAAACAAAGATAGACGATAGTGACACTAATATGATAAAGACACGGATGACTCTTTCAAATGTTTAATCAGAAGTAAAGAAAAAGAATATGTAGAAACTTTTATCGATGTCTATAGAAATAAACCGAGATTCGTTTCGAAAATTGACAATTTTTATCTAGAACGGGAAAATATTTGTCAAAAGATTTTTTTTAGATGCTATTCAATTTTGAATTTCTCCAGATTCTAATAAATTTTCAAAAATTTCCCCGCACGACTGGTGTCGCATACGGGTAGATTCTGTATGCCTGACTTTTAGTAACACAAGATAATAATCGATCACTTTGAAATAGAGTAAATTACTCGCTCATGTTTTATTCAAAGAATTATCTAACACATTACATACAAACACAAAAAGATAAGATAGAAACAGCATAGAAAAAGAGAAAAAGAATAAGTATGTGTTTTTATTTATGAATATACATTTTCATGCTTTTAACATTAACAATTAGTCGGTTTACCTAATGAAAAAGAAAATGAAATAGACAGAGAAAAATTCGATCTTAACTCACTTATATAATAAACCAATTTGTGATAACATTGAATTCTCTAATTGAGAAAACTTCGAGACTCTTCAATTCGAACAAATAACTAATTAACATTAGTTTAAATCAGTAAAATTATTATTTTAAGTGAAAGTTTATTGATGAAAAAGTTATTTTCAATGTGATAAACATTGATTGAAATGAATGGAATGCAACATAGGTAAATATTATCTTATAAGTGACATGAACAAGTTTATTTTATTGAAAATTCTTATCAATCGAAAGTATTATTTAAAGAAAAACTTTCAAATTTCCAGAGAGCTTTCATCTTTTTAACCAACTGATTAATAAATTTGTCTATCTAGGAAAGAAATAAAATATTTTATTACTTCAGTTTATTATGAACACGTCATCAATATTTATATGAACTTGTTTAATATCATGTTTAGATAATAATATTAATTATTGTTTTTCTAATAAAATATCTCTCTTATTTAAGAGAAAGTCCGTGAGAATACCAGATATCATGGCCGGGGAAAAGTTTTGATTTTGGATTTGATCTTTTGAAAAGAAAGGCCTTTTAGAGTTAGTACCAAATCCAAAATATTAGCTTGGTCTGACCATCCATTGCTGAGTTTTGAAGTACACTTCGATAGCAGGGGTAATAGACCAGGGGCAAAAAATTGTCATTTTTCGTACTTTTAATATGGTACAAAAGTATTCTACTATTTCGAACATTAACATAGTGATAACTTATGGAAAAACAAAGCGCATCGTTGTGGCTATCAGACTATGCCTTTTTGGACTCTCCACAAACGTTATTATATGGAAAAACAAGGGCCAACAAAGTATTTTCTAACCAAAAAAGACTTCGATTTTGAGCATTTTTTCAAAGTATTTCGACTCTTTTCCTTTCAAAATGGAGGTTCTCCATAATTTTTATGACACCAAAAGATAGCCCGTGAAAAACTGCATCTTCTAATGTAAAAACATCTGAGAAAAACGATGGCCCGCTGATTCAACTTTTTCAAACAAAAAGCACGACTACACACTTTTTATGTTCATTATAGGGTATGCTAAAACATTGTGCACCTTCGTTCTCCACTATTTGATTTAGAACTGCAGCCATTTTTTCAGCATCACTAGTGATCACTGAGACCTGGCAAACTATTAAGTCAAGGACCTGCAAATAAGCTGTCTTGTATATGTTATGTGGTACATACCATCCGCAATATAGAGAAAGATGCCTTACAGTGAACCATATGTACCTTCGTTCTCCACTATTTGATTCAGAACCAAAGCCATTTTTCCGGCATTAATAACAATGGGTAAAAGGTATGGAATTGCTAAGAGAAGGGCCTGCTACAAGGCTGTTTCTTTTTTGTTACCTGAGACGATGTGGGTGTGGGTGTGAGGTGTGGGTGTGGGTTTGGGTGTGGATGTGGGGTGTGGGTGTGGGTGTGGTCGTGAGGAAGAGAATGACCCAAGGAGGAAACAGCTGACTCCAGTCCCCTAGAGTCAAGTGGAGTGACATGGAGTTAAGTGAAGTCAAGTGGAGTCACTTGGAGTCACATGGAGTTAGGTGGAGTCATAGAGTCTCGTAAAATTCTTGTCCACCTTCAGAATAGCTATACAGTAGTACCAATTAACTGGGTACCAGTTCGACTGCGTATATATTTAATTAGTCTATCTATGTTCATTGAGTCATATGTTGTTTATGGGTACTCATAGGTCCTGAAGTCCTATATAAGGGAGTATCTTGAGGTCCTCAAGTCCTATTTAAGGAGGGTGTCTTGAGGTGCTCAAGTCCTATATTGCAAAGTTACCTTTGGGTCCTCAAGTTCTATATTACGAGGCTACCTTTAGGTTCTCAAGGGCTATTCCCTTGATTGTAGTCAGTGTCTTAATCCAGAAGGTGACTGTGTGCTTGTCCGCAGAGTGGTAGTTCGAATCTACAGTGAAGTGACCCAGTCAATCGCATTGATCCACGGAACTTGCATATAAATGATTATAGGAAAGGCATTCCACTGTTTATTCATGGAAAAAATACCTTGACGTTAATTGGTTCATAAAATTGCAAATAACGCTGCCAGAACTTTTTCTTAGACCAAGTATTATATAGAGCTGCCAATAGGTGCTGAAGGGTAGGCTCCGCGATTGATTTTGAGAGTGGGGTGGGTAGGGATACAAATTTTGCAGAAACTCCGTCACCTTCAGCGCAGAAAGCCAGTGTTGTTTCTGTTGCATTTGTTGCGGAAAATCAGTGTTAAGTTTGCCATATTTCCTGTAGGGATTCCGAAGTTTAAAAGAAAATGCGACATAAATACGATCGGGTTTATGCAAGAAATACAGAAGAGAGGACTGCATTTTCTGCAAGATAATTGGCCTAAATAACCTGGACGTTCGGGAAGAATTTGGCAGAGACCATGCCTGTTTGGTTTAATTAGAGCAACTTGATGTCTTTCCTGCTTTAGTGTAGTAATCGGTGTCCCAGAAACTATTATCAATGCTTTTGGCAGAAAATCTGAAGGTGGTTGCGTGCAAGCTCTGCCAGCCACCAAATCGGGTACCAGCCTCAAACCGTATGGTAAGTGGCACACATAGATCCTAAAGGCAAATACTACTGGGATCCGGCTTGCTATATGCTATGAGGAGCTATGGCCACCCTTACGAGAGAGGCCGTAAAGACCTTTGGTTGTCCCTCTCATATAGAAGTGCGGGACCTATAGGTACCTTTATATAATACCGCTTGATATTTTGTGAGTACCACCATAGTATAGGCTTTCAGGACCTATCTGTACTTTTGTATAATAGCCTTTGGGGACTTCGGTACCTCTGTATAATAGACATTCTGGACCTAAGGGTACCTTCATTATATAGGACTTGAGCACCTAAAGGTACCCTCATAAGATAGAACTTGAGGACTTAAGGATACCCCATAATATAGGGCTTCAGAACCTAAAGGTACCCCTACAACATAGGACCTGAGGACCTAAGGCTAAGGGTACCGCATAATACCATTACATAAAGCCGAACTACTGTCCTGCGGACAAGCACGCAAACGCACAGTCGATTTCAGAATTAAGACCTTGGTGACAGTCAAGGAAATAATACTAAGAACTTCATACAAGATTGGAGTCATATGTAGTCACACGGAGTCAAGTGAAGTCAAGTGGAGTCAAGTGAAGTCAAGTGGAGTCGTGGAGTCAGCTATTTCTCCCTTGGAATGGCCCCACATCTACACCCACCCACACAGACTCCCACTTCCATACACCCACACCCACACACTCATACCTACACACTCACACCCACACCCACGCTCACATATAGAAGACAGCTTATTAGCAGGGCCTTGTCTTGACAGTTTGGCAGGTGTGGATGGGTGTGGATGGGTGTGAGTGAGTGTGGATGTGGGTGTGGGGAGGGTGGGTGTGGGTGTGGGTGTGTGGGTGTGGGTGTGGATAAAGA